TCAGTAGTCTGATGGAGTTTGCAATGGACTAGATGGCTGTCGGGATAAAGGTAATAAATAACAGATATTTTTTTTCCTTCCTTGAATCCTTGTTCATGGATCCTTCGTCAGGTCCATAGCTCATAAAATTTTTGGTGGAGATTCTATATTAAATTAGCATCTTTCAGTCATTGCTAGATTGTATGATGCACCACTTAATTATGCAGGTGACTCGTTCACCAAGTGCCGTTTCACATCGTGTTGTTTCGCTACTATATGGTAACTCATAAGATCCTCGCTGAGTGATTGCAACAGTACGAGTTAATTAAATCAATATGGTCACTGAACTTTACTATATATTATTAGCTGCTTATTAATCTTTAAAAAGTTACTATTTGCTCACTAAAATTTGTTAGAGATCACTACTTACTCACCGAAATTCAAAAGGTTACTCGTTACTCACCCAGATTTGAACAAATACCTATCAATCACTTGTATCATTTTCATTAGTGTTACCCATAACAAATTTAAGTGGGCAATGAATAATTTTATTCAAATTGAAGTAAGTAATGAGTAACTTTTAAAATTTGGTGAGCAAGTAATAACTTGTAGCAAAGTTCAACGAGTAACGAGTAACTTTTTAAAAATCGATGAGCAAGTGATAACCTTAGTAAAATTCAATGACCATTGATTAAATTATCATATCTTACCAAAATTCATCTCCATAATATTATCAAATATACGCTAATGACACAGGCTTGAATATTGGTGCCATTGTGGTGGTTGAATTGATTTATTTATTTTTTTCTTCCCTACATGAACTTTTCCTGTTTACTCATCTTCTATCACACTTGAACACCTACAAACCACCAAAATACTCATTCTATGGTTGTAAAAATTAAGTTACAAGACGCAAATTGGGCACAATTAAACTCATCATCAATAATGATCATATACATAATTGAGCACTTCAATGAATCGCAAAACAGATTACGAAAAGAGAACTTGTCGGATTCTGATGTAGGTAACCTGCTCTCAAGAGGTTAGTCTACAATTTGACTAGCAACTGAAATTTCTTCGGATATAAGGGTCCGTTTAATTGAGAAGATGAAATTTGGGTGGAAAGAAAATGAATTCCAGAGAATCGAATTGCTTAGAAATTGTTTTCCTTGAAATTGTAAGTTATTGTGTTTGATTGGTATAATTTTTTACGCGAAAAATATTGAAATAAAAGTATTTTTTTGTGTTCGTTTGACTTTGTTTTACATGAAAATTATTAATTAAAAGGATAGAATTTACTAATATTGGAAATGAAATTTGTTTTCATTGCCAAAAAAAAAAAAATCCAAGAAAATCATTTATCTTTTAGTGTTCGTTTGACTTTATTTTATATGAAAATTATTAATTTAAAAGATAACTTCTTTTACAATTGTTCCTAGAATTTGTTCCCATTACAAAAAAAAAAAGATGGAAAACCATTTTCCACTAAAGTGGTGGGGTGGGAAAAGAAATTCCCCAAAAATCATGAAAATGTGATCGTGTGAAGAAAAGAGAGAATACAAATTCCATGCGAAATTTTGCCTATCAAACATGAAAAAAAGTGAAAAATGGAAATTTAGATGGAATTGGGGTGCAATCAAATATAGCAGAAGTTGAAGATTGCCGAATATTACCGCAGGAGAGAGATGGGACATTTGCTAGCGACGCAAGCTGACGGGCGAGGGTAGAAAAAGGGTGCGATTTCTGGGGAATTGATTGCGATCCAGTGGCAACTCAATCGTGAGGTTGGTAATTCTGCTTGGGCAATCGGGCCTTAGGCCACTATATGAAAATTAAATTGAGACAAATAATAAATTTTATTGTTGTCAAAATCAATTTTTGTACATGGTAGCATATTAGGACATTTTGAGGTGGCTTTAAGGAAATATCACGTTATTTTTATTATGTAACAGGACTTGTATCATTAATTCTAACTTTAAATCAAAAAATTTCACCCCTTGCTAAGTTGGAGGGTATTGGGACATGCTAAAAGAAAGTGTCTTGCTTAGTTGAGGAATAGTGCTATTCATAGTTATTCACTGCGGTAGTTGTCCTTACGTGATATCTTATATGACGGATTGTACTTTGATGTATTAATATTGTAGTTTTTCTTGCCTCATATATCAAATTACTAACTACTGTATGTATATCACGTAGAACGACTACGATGATGAATGACTGCAAATAAAATTATTCTTCGTTGAGAATGGATTTGAGCAGCATGATTAATGTTTCTTTTCATCCATGATCATCATGTTAGATTATTGCATTGCAATTTAGTCCAAAATATTAATGTGCATTTATTTACTAGGCCTCAATGAATGACTATTGTTGATCTCGCGAATTGTACTTCCTACGTGGCTAACCGATAGCTGCTTCACGTGATTTTTCCTGCGTACAATCAACACACGGTCAGATGCACACGATCGGAACCAATTGGGGTGGTGGCGGCCGCATACACTCCGACGGTCAAATTAGTATTCAATGATCGGAACAGTGTCTGGATTGTGCAAGTGAATGGGGAGGAGATTATATATATTTTCTCGTTATGGTGAGCTAAGTTGCAAGAGTTTTATTACCATTGCCTCTTGTCAAGTTTTGGGTATTTATAGGTGAGGAGAACCGTTGGATGTGGGACACATATATGCATCTGACGGCGTGAGACGTCTGCTCTTAGGCGTCAATCAGCCGCATCTATAGAGTGGACGGGTAATAACTTCTGCTGAGTTGAGTTGACATAAAGTTAATACGTCACATCAACTAGACCATGAAGACGTCAAATCAATTGGGCCTTAGGGGTAGAGAGGATCTTGATGCAGATTCTCTTTCTGAAAGTGGCAGCGTATTGCACTTCGACATCAAGGACGCTTCGAAATATCAGAATCACATCGGGTTGGTGGTGGATACCTTGTACTACCACTTCCGAAGTGGTTCAAATAGGGGCGTAACAGTGGTCCCCCCAAGTTCAGGCATGGATATTTATATCATGGGTGGACTTGTTTTCCCCGATCGAGTATGCCTGCCTTGATTTGTGATAGAGAACTAGCATGGAAGAGCGAGGTGTGTAGTTTTCGAAGAGATTTGGATAGCTGATCAGCTTCTCCCGAGGTGCAACATATAGGGGACGGTACGTTGGGAAAAGGGAAAAGCCTCACGAGGCGTCGGGACGATGCGTTGGGAGACGGCTAAGGCTTTGTAAGCTTAGGAGGGAACGCAGCCACCGAGGCGATAACCAACAGGTGATGTCGCGTCAGGTGCGTCTAGGCTTTATAAAGCTGTGGAGAGCTCATCTGCGTCCGATGTGCTGACCCAAAGGAGACGCGTTGGGAGATGGCTAAAGTTTTGTAAGGCTTAAGAGGGAATGCGTCCATCGAGGCGATGACCCACAGGGGACGTCGTGTCAGGTGCGTCTAAACTTTGTAAAGCTGTTGGGAGCTCATCTGCTTCCGATGCCCTGACCCATAGGGGACAACACGTTAGGAGATGGCTAAAACTTTGTAATGCTTATGAGGGAACGCAGCCACCAAGACGATGACCAACAGGTGACGTCACGTCAGGTGCGTCTAAACTTTGTAAAACTATGGATTTCGAACTGAAGTAAGCATTGTTGACGTCAAATGATTTGACAGCTGTCGCATATTTCCAAGAGGACAGTTGGGTGCAATGCCCATTCCCAGAAAAGGCTGCTGCGGCTACTTATTGTAGACGGCTGACGGTGATCAAGGCGACGCATTTTATGCGAGCGTGAGGGTCACAACTAGATTTTGGGCGTAGATCAAATCTGGCGTTTCATTTCAATGGCTCAGATTTAAGATGCGATGGACGGCCTAGATTGATCGCGTTTGAATTCAACGGTAGAGATCAGCTGGCACGCTCTATAAAAGGAGGATTTGAGCATTTTCAGAGTTTTTTACTTTTGCGAAATCAGAAAATCCATTATCTCTCAATTCTTGCATTTTTCGGCGTTGTGCAAGCGATTTCAGGCGACATTTCCAATTTTTGACGATATCTCATTGTTTGTTGATCTTTTTCGGCTGTAGGTCCCCCCCAATTTCTTGAATTTCAGTAAGTATTTTCTAAGTTTTTTCACATTTTTGTATTCTGTAATGGCTTCGGACAGTTGTGGGGCTTCGAGAAGAGATTTAGAGGTGGTGAGGGTGGATGAGCCTATTTTGGCGACGCCCAGCGATATCTCCAAGGCAATATTCAGTGGAGAAAATATTTGGAGAAGGCCTGATAGCTCGGTAGATACATCAGAACACTGGGGGCCTCGGATTACCCGTCGAAATTGAAGGAAGCCGATCTGTGTAGACTTAGGGCTGAATATAGAATACCTGATAGTGTAGAACTGATATTATCGGGGCCTAATAAGAGGGCCTGCTATCCTAAGTTGGGGTGTGTGGCCGTGAGTGAGGCACTTTTTAGGGCCGGACTTAGGCTCCCCCTCCATCCCTTCTTTAGGCTAGTGTTGAGGTCGTGCGGGTTATTTCCGACCCAGCTGAACTCGAACTCCTGGAACCAAATGGTGGGGTCCTGGATGTTATGGAAGGAGGCGTCGCTGGGGGTGGAGATGTACTTCTCGAATTTTTAGACCCTATGCATCCCTAAGGTAGCGACTGGGGGACAAGACCAGGGGGTGGTATTATCTGACCTCATGGGGTTCCTATACTCCATTCGTGCTCGATCTGTCGAGCTCCATTAAAGAATGGAAGAACTCGTGGTGCTGGGCTGCCGAGAGATGGGACACCATCGAGAGGGACCCCCTGGCGCCTCTTACGATCCCCACGAAGTATTCCACACTTAGTGAATACTGTTACCCTGCAATTTTGTTTATTTTTCTTCGGTTCGGATCCTAACCGTCCTTTGTTTTTTGTTTTGAAGGTTCCTGATCGAGTGAATAAGATTGCATTTTTAATGCTGATTGCTCATGATTATTTGCTAATATTCAAGTATTTTTGGGATTAATTATGATATTTTTATATAGTTGAATGAAGGTCAATCCTAATTGTGGTGTTTACAATTTTATTGTAGAAATGGAGCCCAAAAATAACAAAGTTCAAGGCCCATAAGAGAAGACTCAATTCAAGTGGACTTAACCCAGCCCAATCAAAATAAAATAGATTGGAAAGATTAATGAAGGGAGCAAAATCTGTGGAAGATGTCTCTTGCTGTGAAGAAATCCCGAATTGGAAACACATCTGTACTGCGCTTTGTATTTTCACCATATCTCCCTCATCCGATGTCATATTGAGCTGATTCAAGAGGCCTTGGAAAGCTAATTTAACGTGCTACAATTTCTCCTGAAATAGAGATTTTGAAATCCTCACATTTTCTAAGTGAAAAATGGCCCACAATCCAAGGCTAAAAATCTGCCGAATTGAAGAGGCGAATTCGGGATTGATTCTTTCTTTTCCTGGTGATGATGGTTTGAAAGGAGTGGAAGAGGGGAAAAAAAAGGCAGAGGACGACCAAGAAGGCTGGGACCAAGGTGGATCAATTCTTTTTCTTCCCTTTTGGCTATCAAAAGAGGGAAGCCACTTCAAGAAAACGGGAGACCAGATTCACTGAGTTTTTCCTTCTTCCCATCTCTTTCAATTTCTTGATGTTAACTCTTTATTTAAACTTTTCTTCAATTTTAGCATGAATTAATTTCTATCTTCTAAAGTTTGAGATGTAGCCTAACTACGATTATGTGAATCTTCCTTTACTTGAATTAATTGGTATTTGTTCCAATTGTTGAGTATTTCATTCTGGACTTAATGCTTGTGAATTGACTGATCACCATTCACTTGAGTTGGGATTCAATTTGAGAGAGAGAAGTAATAATTGTTTCGGCCAATGTTTGAGATACTACAGGAATTCTGTAGGATAGAGATATTTATGGACTTGTGTAATCTTTATGGGTTTATTTTTGTTTTTAATGAATCTTGACAGGCTTAGAATTTTCACAGAGATGTAGAAAATTTTCTTGTTGAGATGTTTCGTTAATGCTTGAGAAAGATTAATAAATAAATTAGAAAGACTTGATTATAACAATTAGGAACATTTACAATTAATTCAATTAGGATATTCACATATGAGTAGTTATGGTGAATCGAAAACTCTAGAGTATTGTTTTCTTGATTTTAACTTGCTTGTTCAATTCATCTTAGTTTAACTTTCTGGTTTAATAATTCATTTACATTCGAATTGTCAAATAGATCATCATTTAATAAATTTTGATAATTATTCGTAATTTTTCATTCCTTGTGGGACGATACTCTTACTCATTCACTTTATTACTTGTTACGACTCGTGTACTTGCGATTTCAACCAACAAATTTTTGGCGCCGTTGCCGGAGAAATAGATAAAATTATTGATAATATCAATACTAGTTAGATTTGATCTAATTTGATTTTTTTTTTATTTCCAGGCTTTGCTTAGTGCATGAGAAGCAAAAAGAGCTTGGAACTGCTGCCTTATGATCCAAAAATTGAAAAAAACAGCAAAAAGACTGAGGAAAAAGAAGCGAGTAGCTCGAAAAAATTCAAACGCTATGGCAGACAACGAGAATCCAAGACGTCAACACGAGCTGTAAGGGATTTTGCTCTACCACAGGTCACAGGAATCAATTTAGTCATTAAGAAACCTAGTATTGCAGCCAACAACTTTGAGATTAAGCCAGCTATCCTACAAATGATCCAAAACATCAATTCAATTCCATGGATTTCCGAGTGATGATCCCAATGCCCATATAGCAAGTTTTCTGGAAGTTTGTGACACCTTCAAGCAAAATGGTGTTACTTATGATGCCATTCACCTCTGGCTATTTCCTTTCTCTCTTCGAGATTGAGCAAAAAGTTGGCTAAATTTATTACCTGCAAATTCAATCACTAGTTGGGAAGATTTAGCTCAGAAGTTTCTCGCTAAATTTTTTCCACTAGCCAAGACAGCAAAGATGCACAATGAAGTTTCAAATTTTTCTCAATTGGAGGGTGCACCACTTTACGAGGCTTGGGAGCGATATAAAGACCTACTTAGGCGATGCCTTCACCATGGATTGCCGAAGTGGATGCAAGTTCAGAACTTCTATAATGGACTTGCTGCCTCTACAAGAACTCTAATAGATGCCGCTTCAGGACGAGCTTTTATGGGCAAATCCCTAGATGATGCATATGATCTGTTGGAGGAGATGGCGATGGACAACTATCAATGGCCAAATGAGAGAATTTTACCGAAGAAAGCAGTAAGAGTGCATGAGGTTGAAGCTATCACTACCTTGACAACTCAAGTCCATAATCTTACTCAACAATTGAAGGCCAACCAACTGACAGCAAATGCCATTCACTTGACACCACTGGCTTGTGATTTTTGTCATGGAAACCATCCAAGTGAAGAATGTCAAGTGGGAAATCCCTTCTTTCAATCCCAAGCGGAGCAAGCACACTTTGTTGCAAATTACAATCGGCAAAACAATCCATATAGTGCAACATACAACCCTGGATGGAAACATCACCCCAAATTTTCATGGAATAATCAGAATGCATTGAAACCTCCACCTGGTCCATCGTCTAGTGATCCGCCGAAAGAGAAGTTAGCACTTGAAGAAGCAACGGCACAATTAGCAACTAACACCAACAGATTCATAACAGAGACTAAGACCAATTTTCAGAATCAAGAAGCTTCGATACGGAATTAAGAAGTCCAGGTCGGTCAATTGGCTAATATGCTAACTGGGAGACAACAAGGAAACTTGCCTAGCACAACTGAAGTGAATCCAAAGGAACAGTGTGAGGCGATCACTTTGAGAAATGGAAAAGAGTTAGAAGCTCCAATTACTAGTGAAAAGTTTGAAAAAGAAGATCAAGAGATGCAACTCCACACACCAACGCTTAGCGAGGAGATTTCTAACAATCAACCAATCCCACCACAGGATCTAGCACCAAAAGTTCCATTCCCTCAACGACTCAAAAAGAATAAGCTTGATAAGCAATTTTCTAAATTTTTAGATGTGTTTAAAAAATTGCATATTAACATTCCTTTTGCAGAAGCTCTCGAACAAATGCCAAGCTACGTGAAATTTATGAAGGACATCTTGTCAAACAAGAGGAGATTGGAAGAATATGAGACAGTAGCCCTTACTGAAGAGAGAAGTGCAATTCTACAAAAGAAATTGCCTCCAAAGTTCAAGGATCCAAGGAGTTTTACTATCCCTTGTTCAATTATAAATTCTATGTTTGAAAGAGTTTTATGTGACTTAGGTGCAAGTATTAATCTTATGCCTTTGTCTATTTTTAGGAAACTTGGACTAGGTGAGGCGAGACCTACTACAGTATCATTGCAATTAGTGGATCACTCAATAAAACACCCAAGGGGAATTACTGAGGATGTGCTTGTTAAGGTGGACAAGTTTATTCTTCCAGCCGACTTCCTCATTCTAGACATGGAGGAGGATAGGAAAATTCCTATCATTCTTGGCAGACCATTCTTAGCTACTGGCCGAGCTCTAATTGATGTCCAAAGGGGAGAATTGCGGTTGAGAGTACAAGAGGAGGAGGTAACCTTTAATGTTTTTGATGCCATCAAGTATCCGGATACAAGTGAGAGTTGTTTCAGCATCTGAGAAATCGACTCCTTGGTCACTGAAGTATTTAACCAACAAAAGGAGTCGTTGGAAGTTTTTTTGGTTAATCCCAACCCGACTATGGTGGAAGATCCGGAAGTGTTAGAATATGCTTTGTGGATGGATCCTTTTGGTCCTAATCGCAGAAAATATTTTGAAGATTTGGGACATGGAACATCATGGCCCCTTCCATCTATTGAGAAACCACCTACATTGGAGCTTAAGCCCTTACCTGAACATCTTCAATATGCGTATCTTTGTGAATCATCTACTCTTCTGGTAATTATTTCATCCAAGCTTTCGATTGAAGAAGAGGAAAAGTTGTTAAGAGTGCTTAGAGAACATAAGGCAGCTATTGGATGGACACTTGCAGATATCAAGAGAATTAGCCCTTCTATTTGTATGCACCAAATTTTGTTGGGTGAAGATTGCAAGCCAGCGGTGGTACATCAAAGAAGACTCAATCCGACAATAAAGGAAGTGGTGCATAAAGAGGTCTTAAAATGGTTAGATGCCGGAGTGACTTACCCAATTTCTGATAGCTCATGGATCAGTCTTGTGCAAGTAGTACCAAAAAAAGGAAGAATGACAGTGGTAAAGAATGCTAACAATGAGTTGATCCCTACAAGAATAGTTACTGGATGGAGAATTTGCATGGATTATTGAAAATTGAACAAGCCACTCGGAAGGACCACTTCCCCTTGCCATTCATTGATCAAATGTTAGACAGGCTAGCCGAGCATGAGTACTATTGCTTCCTAGATGGCTATTCGGGGTATAATCAAATAGCCATAGCACCAGAGGACCAAGAGAAGACCACCTTCACATGCCCTCATGGCACTTTCGCCTTTCGTCGAATGCCATTTGGACTTTGCAATGCGCCAGCTACCTTCCAAAGGTGTATGATGTCAATCTTTTCAGATACGGTAGAGCGGATTATTGAAATTTCCATGGATGATTTTTCTGTATTCGGATCATCTTTTGATGATTGTCTTGGGAATTTGGCGTTAGTTTTGAAGAGATGTGAAGAAACTAACCTTCTACTTAATTGGGAAAAGTGTCACTTCATGGTAAAAGAGGGAATTGTCTTAGGTCTTCGGATCTCTTCAAAGGGGATTGAAGTGGATAGAGCAAAAATTGAGACAATCGAGAAGCTTCCACCACCAACAACAATAAAAGGAGTACGGAGCTTTCTTGGACATGTCGGATTTTATAGAAGATTTATTAAAGACTTTTCCAAGATCTCCAAACCCCTTTGTAGCTTGCTTGTGAAAGAAACACCTTTTGTGTTTGATGAAGAATGTGAAAAGGCGTTCTTACTGCTAAAAGAGAAGCTTGTGTCGGCTCCGATTGTTATAGCTCCGGATTGGGATCTACCGTTTGAATTGATGTGCGATGCAAGTGACTATGCGGTTGGTGCGGTATTGGGACAACGAAGGAACAAACGGTTTCATACAATTTATTATGCTAGTAGAACCCTTAATGATGCCCAACTCAACTATGCCACAACTAAGAAGGAACTTCTTGCTATAGTCTTCACTTTTGAAAAGTTTCGACCATATCTCATTGGGAATAAGGTGATAGTCTACACTGATCATTCCGCAATTAAATACATTATCATGAAGAAGGAAGCCAAGCCAAGACTCATCCGTTGGGTTCTCTTGCTACAAGAATTTGATATTGAGATTAAAGACAAGAAGG